GCTTTCTACAGCGCAAACTGCTGAACGGAATGCAACGAAATTTTGTATATGGGCTATATACGAGATGACGCCCACGGAATTTCGAAAAAAAAAATTTCCAAAATGTTCACCAGAGGGCCCATTTTCGAGAACAACATGAAATTTAACTCAATAAATGACCAAAAGAGAATACAAAAACAATATTAACAATCCTGAATATGAATGATGAGTAAGTAATAAAATGCAAAACCGGGAAAAGCTGTCAGTTGTGGGAGAAAAATGTCAAGATTTGCATGCTTGAGAAGAGGAAGTTTTATGCAAAATATGTGAGGTGTTCTTAGTTCGTTCTACCGATTTCCTCAAAGAAGAATAATCCATGGATGAATTACATCGTGAATGCGCACCATACAATGACCTTTGGAGACTAATGGGGAAATTCAGTGGGGATCCACGGATTTTTCTTATCCCAAATGCGATAATTATGTGTGTTGACTGTCCCAATAAGGTAGAAATGAGCCTTGCCACTTCAGCTGGCCTTTCGAAGGCCATGGCAGATGAACAGCATTCTGTAGAGAAAACTGACATCGAATGAAAGACGTTGTGTCTTTCCACCATTAAGCAGCTCCTGGGTTTGGAGGATCCAGTATGGGAAGTAGGGCATTATGTTTTCTGAGTATTTTTCGGACGGTGCTGTAAGAACAGCCTGTCTGTAGAGTAAATACACGCATGCTACTGCCCCCAAACTCATGTCTGTGACTGTGGTTCTACAGCTGTCTTGACGCCATCAACAAGTACTGGTCTGACACCTTTACGATCTTTTGCAGTTTCCTTCCTAATTTCCTCGTCTTTTCGAATCTCTTAATCACGGTCCGGATACCTTTAGTAGACTTTGGTATTCGCAGTGAGTTCTTTCTTCGATGAATTTCTCAAACTGCAGCCGAAGCATTCCTCTTGTTTTCGTAAAACAGCTTCACCAATAACCCACGTTCAATTAAAAAAAAACCATCATTAGCAGCCGGAAAAATCGACTTAAACTGGACAACACTCGATAGGACACTCGGCTTGTAATCGAGTGGGCTCGCGTTGGAGTCCCGAACAGGGCATGGATGTATTTTCGGGAAAAGAAGTCGGACTTTCACATGAAATCGTTTCCTGTCTCGAATGGAAAGCAGCGCACCCCTTCTGTGTTCTAAGCTGAGATCATTGGTTGTAATAATGTATATATTCTTTTATGATTATATTGTATGTTTCTGCTCAGATATCTCTCGTGTTTCGTATGTTTCCCAAGATAAAACGCACGATAACAAACAAAAATAAGAAGCTAAAATTGTGTTTTTTTCCTATCTAAATTAATATTTTTATCACTCATAAAATTTAATGCAATCACTCTATTATTTAAAGGCTTGAAAACCCACGTGTGAAGGAGTTTGTGAATGTTAAATCTGTCAAGGTCAAAGTTTCTGGTGCTGTTTTGGTGTGAACGTTTGGAGGTACGCTTGCCAGCCCAGGTATTTTATCCTCGTTTCTTGACCAAGATTCGAACTACAAGGTCCGTTTCTTGTCACTCTTCAAAGTGGGAAGCTTAAAAAAATAAACTTTTTTCTTCAAAGATTATTGTCTAAAATGGATAGCAATTAAAATCTTGCAGCGATTTACCTGAACATCAGTTATCTATATTCCACACTTAAAAATTATCATTATTTACATTGTAAAAATTTCCTTTAGATACACTCTTGCAAATGGATTTGCGAATAGCAGATAAAATCCATAACAGAAAAATATAGTGAAACATTGAGAACAGTATCAAATGTTGTAAATTATATCACACCTTAGTTCTTGATGATAATAGAACCTCGCAAATTTTTCAGGGTTATTTCTCAAGGTCCATTGTGAAAAGAGTTTTTCTAAGTGTAAGTTTACGGCTTTCAAACACACAGTAAGTGAAACCAGATTTTAACGATTCTTTTAAGGTATCCGCGACTACGTTCAGAACAGTGATTCTAAAAAACGCCTAAATGAATAATTTTCAGAATATTTAGTGTCACTTAGATTAGAATACACGCATAAAATTGTTTTTAGGACATTTCGACAAAAAAAAATATTTAGATACCATATTTTGGAAAAAATTAACTTAGAATAACCTTTTTTGAAAATATTCTCCTTTTGTGAAAAATGATTCTATTATAATAATATTTTGCCTGTATATAGCTCAGACCTCTTTACAGACGCTCAACTATGATTTTTGAAAAACTCACATTCTTTTCAGAGTTACAACCCATTGAAACAATTATCGGCGTTTTTTTCTTAAAATTTCTCCCCTCTGTTGTCGTAAAACATGGATAAACCCACTTCTAAGTTATATATTTTGAAAATTCTGGTTGAGCTTCTGTACAGAGGTCTGAGCTATATACAGGCGAAATATTATTATAATAGAAGCATTTTTCACAAAAGGAGAATATTTTGAAAATGGGTCATTCTATGATCATTTTCTGTCAAAATATTATAATTAAATAATTTTTTATTGTAATAATATTCTTAAAATTTTTTTTTACATTTTCTAATCTACTACTACACTAAATATCATAAATATTATCCATTTATACGCTTTTGCAAAATCACGGTTCTGAACGTAGTCGGATATCTTAAGAATGGTTTCACTACGCACACTTTTTTTCTGAAGAAAATAACAAAGATCCGTGTATAGTAGAATTGGATTTGAAGACTTTAATTTTACTTCTTTACTTATTTAATAAAAATATAAACTTTCGATTGACAAATATTTTTATCCATTCTTTTTTTTTACATTCAATAAAAAAACATACCATTAAAAGAAATAAAAAAAACCTTTCCTTTCGTTAAGATGTCGCGACATTTTTGAAGAATTTCAATATCAAAAGAATGCTTATGTGATAATGAAGAAAGGAGAACCACAAAAAATTGAATTTTTCTTTTCTGTCCCTCGCAAAAGAAAGAAAAAATGTTGGTAGGGAAATCTACATAAAATGGGAGGAAAACGGAGAAAGAAGAATTTTGCAAACAAACCTCAATCAAGAAAATTTTGTTTTTAGAGCCAACATTAGGGGAAAAACTTTTTTTTTCTTTTTTCTAGTGAATCCATGCAGGATGCTTTTTTTTTATCTCTTTGTTTTTTTGATAATGCTGACTAGAAAGTTGTAAAAAAAATGGTTGTTTGACTTGTAAATTTTGACCACGAATATGCTGTGGGAGGATCTGTTATTTTAAAAAATCCCTTCATCGACAAAAATGTTAGGGAGATTCAATGGCCCCGGGAAACATCGCTGTTCCAGTGGAAGATTATTTTTTCAACTCAGCTCTGGGAAAAATTAAAATATTCAAAAATTCGTCTTGGACAAACAATTTCTTTCCACATTTCCTTTTCTTTCCACATATCCTCAATTTAGTTAAGGATTCCTGAATTCAAATGGGCTTTATGTTACCAGAAATGTGAGAAAAAAAGTGTTTTTCGGAAATCTATAAAGCTTATTTAGGTTATGTAAATGTTAACAATGCAATTAATTTTTAAAATGAATTATAAAGGTCTTTTAGATAAATCCAGTAACTTGAGGAATTTTAAGATTTAAATATATACATAACTACTTCATATACTAAAAATATTTAAGCAAGCAAATTTTCTCAAGCCATTTTAACGGATGGCAGTTAAATTATCTGTGAAAGTTCAATTTTATAAAATAAAATCGCTTCAAAATATGTATATTTTAATGACATATTTGAAATTACAAAAGTACATACTTATGAGAAAGAAGTTTGTTAAGAGTTTGTTTAGATCATAAAGACCGTTATTCAAATATATTTACTGTAGTTGTATTTAAAAAACAACAACAAATTTTAAAATTTACTTATGATTTTACTCATGCCTGTTTTGCAATAGCCAAAATTAAAAGTATATGAAATGTTTTAAGTATATATCACATTTATATAAATTATGATCAAAAATTACATTTTATACTATGTATAGTTTGAAATAAGATTCGTGGCAAAGTACTACTTCACATTCCTTGCACCAGATACAGTTTAATTTGAGAATTTTTTTCCCCTAGCTTTAATTTTTTTTTCTTACTCAATACATAGCACACAGTCTACGACGTTTTCCGCTTTTGTTTTATTAGGAGTTAAGAACTTGCAAACTGATGAAGTGCTGGTCATAATTTCAATCATTTAACTTAAAATTTCAGTAAAGAAAAACGTTATAACGCTGTTGTACGCAAAAAAAGTGTTTTCCTTGAATGTTTTTTTTTATTCAAGACGCAACGGGTCAGTTAAGTCAATACATATGTGTTACAAAGTAATGCTTTTCTTTCAGTAGGTTGTATTACTCTTCAAAGCTTGTTCCATGATTTTAGAATCATCCTGCATACTAATTAATTGAGTAAAAAATCCTTAAACAGAATTCACGCATTTCCTTTAGTAATTGATGTGTTTTCTTATTAGAATTAAATACAGGGAAATTATGTAAATAAAAAAATAAAGCCTGTGACTCCTCTAAAGACTTTTTTCTTTACTAAAAATAACTTTCAGAACTTTTGTTGAATTAATGTAAAAAAATAATAATAATAAATATCTGGTTTTTATAATTCAATTATTTTTAATACAAAAGAAATGTTGTTGTTCCTAATGCCACCTGACCGAGGCCCACGAAAATCATCGTGGCAAAGGGCTAGTTTGTACGCTTGTTGTTAGCTGAAGCTTTGAGCACCATACCGGTGACAGTATTCTTTCGCTCGAATCCACTCCAAATTTGAGGAAATACACCATGGAGGTGGTCAGAAGCCTCCCACCTCTCTCCCTCTTCCCCAACCTCTCGTGAAGTTGAGGCTCGACGAATATTTAGAGTGCTTCCATCCCATAAAGAAGCTGTGGCGGTGTGATATCTATATGAACAAGTACCAACATCACGCGAAGACGATCGTTTTGGCGTGATCGGTTACGTACTTGCGTTCTGAACGGAAGGTACCCAGAACGAACCTTTCTTCCTTCATTGGTGACCCGGACGTGATTTGAACACGCAACCTTCAGATCTGTTGTCGTGGCGCCATCTATCCACCACAAAAGCAACCAAGCCGTCAAACATTGACGCAAATAAGTCGTTACTTCTCAAAGTTGTCTCCCACAAATGACGCAATCAAACCGTCACACAAATGAAGCAATTCTCAAGCCGTCACGCACGAATGACGCAACACACCAAATGACGCAACTGCTTACATGCTTGCCCCGAATATGGTATCGTTTGTTCGCCTATTCACCGAAACACTGGCAGGGGAGTATGAGGCGGTGTGATATCTATATGAACTAGTGCCAACATCACGCGAAGACGATCATTTTGGCGTGATCGGTTACGTACTCGCAGTCGGAACGGAAGGTACCCAGAACGAACCTTTCTTCCTTCAAAGCTATACATTTTCAAACACCCATACCTTCTCTGGGATTCAAACCCAGACTCTACGGCATAGCAATCAACGTCACTAGCCACTATACCGGATGTGCGACTTCGATACAACACACATTTTATGCATTTTAAATAATTTGATTTGATTTTAAATTACGTCATGCTCTGAAGCGACATGAGGGCTATTGGTGACGGACCACGTTCTTTCATCACTCCACGGTCCAAGGAAAAGAATGACCCCTGATCTGGTACCCGATCTCCAAAATCTGCACTGCGGGTCTTCAGTGACACTAGGACCCGAAATCGTGACTCGACATTGTCGGCCCCGTGGCAAAGACCCTAACCACTCAGCCATAAGTTTTAAGTAATAATCCGAGGCATATGTATGCAGGTATCATATACCACCAGATTCCCTCTTATTAAGTATAGTAATACCTCAAGTTACGCTACCCCAACTTACGCGATCGTGGAGTTAAACGATTTTCAAATTTCATCGATTCGTCTTTTGTTTGAGCGCTACACAACTCGATTACTCACTCTCCGCGTTCTGCTTAGCTAATGTACATGTTCGGAAGAATTACGTGGACACGACACTTTGCCATAAATATTATTTTACAGTAAAATCCGGCGTATAACGCCCTCCACGGTCAGCGCCGGCGCTAGCAGTTTCGTCGCCCCGAGCAAAGAGGTAAAATGGCGCTCGTTTATAACAAAAACTAAAAGAGATAACCTAGACCCTTCCCGCGTGTAATGGTAAAATAAAACGTGAGCAAAAAAAATGTTATCAATAATGTTGAAGGTTTGATTAGCAAAAAATACTAATTTATTAATTTATGTTTTTTGAACTAAATTAAAATAAGGGTTGCACAGATAGAAAAGAAAAAGAAAAGAGTCATTTCTAGTGTATAATTATAAAATACAGATATTAAAAAGTACTAAAACAAATTATAGAGCCACACTAAATATTAATTAAATACTAAAAATACATTTAAACCGAGAGTTAAACCGAGTTTTTTTTTATCACTTTTAATTCTGAGAGTTTTTTTTTATAATTGTTTTAACATTTATTTCTTCAGCCAGTTCATGTTCAATGGCTATTGTTGTCAAGCCGTTTAGCCAGTTTAGCCAATCCTCGGTAGTTGTGAAGAGTAAAATTTTTTTAATTAATTTTAATTTGGAGAAACTCCTTTCTCCACTTGCCACACTTACTGGGCGAGTAAGCAATATTTTTGAAACTATACCGAGATTTGGAGCAAATTCCAGGTTCGATATGAATTTTAAAATCTCGATTGGACAATCTTTTTTATTTAGCAAAGTCAAAACCGCTACTATCTCGTCTGCTAGGTCCAGCGCGTTTATAAATGATGAATTCCCATCCCAAATGTAACATCCCTGAGACCTCTTAACTCTGTTTCTAGATCTTTACAATACTTTAGTACGTCGTTTTCCGGAGTATCTTTTAAATCACAAATATAAATAAAGAATGTGTTCAAATGCTTATTAATGTTTTGCATTTTAAATTAACTACTATCGTCCTTTATAAGCGACTAAAGAAATTATTTCTATACGAGAGGCAAATAATATTTTTTTCATTTGAATAACAATATCAATCGAAAATGTTTTAAGATGATTACGGTACATTCAAGCTACGAAAACACACATATTTAAATATGTTATACAACATGAAAATATTCTGCGAAACTCATGACATTTATATTTATGTAAGTAAAATGAAAAATAAATAAATAAGATAGAGAAAACGCACAAATGCCGCAAAATAATTTTTTCACTTTATCTTACGCAATGATTAAAATTCCTGGGCATTAAACCTTAAAAATGAAAAGAGAATGTGAAAATTAAAATATTTTTACCTTTTTTGTTGTACGACTGTGTCTGGTCTGCATAAGCACAGGAAGCTAAAAGAATTAGTTCGAAAGTCAAATTGA